ATGTTTACTAATGAGCTAATTATGCATACTTTTCAAAGCACTTCCTAATTAGCTGTCCATAATTGCTGCCTTGTCTACTCTTAACCTTTGCTGATGGAAAGATGGCTTCTTGCAATATTAAGCTCTTGTTTGAAAAAGATGGTCAAGAGAGCCAGGCCAAATACTGCAGACACCAGCTGCCTGCCTGTCTGGGGGCACTAGGGCTGGCTGCAGCTCCTCCCCACCTGAGGAAGGAACTTGGGCCAGTGCCTCTGCTGCTCTCTAGGAAGGATGCAGAACTGTTTTGTTCCAGCGCCCAGCTTGCTAAAAGCACCAGAGGTGGCCATGATGCTATAAGAGGCCTTCGCTGGCTAGCTGAGCCTAGGTGCCTCACCCTGTGTACTGTGGCCTGGGAACACCAGCATGTTACTGCCAGTATCCCCTGGCAGGCAGCGCTCCGCGGGAGGGTGCTGTAAGCTTGGTGTCTTCCCTTGCCAACCCTTGGTCCCTTCTGCCCATCAGCCTTGGCGCAGGGGCATCTCCTGCCATGCCTGCCCAGTATCCATCGCACACCAGGATGCTGAACTTGGTTCAACTCCCTTGTCGCCACCGTGGTGCTTATGAGGCCACAATGACAACTGCATACATTTCCTTATTATGGTGGCCCCAGTTACTGTTGCTGGAAACCCCCAGGGTTTGACATGGGAAGCCAAAGTCAGTAGGAAGAACCTGACTGTGCAGCTCTGGGCAGTCTCCCATTTGCTGCCTCCTGCCTATTTTTGGAGCCTCGGGGCCTCTCTCTCCAGAAACCTTTGCCAGCGTTTGGCATGTGCCACCAGAGGGGGCTGCAAGCCCCAAATCCTCCCCAGGCTGGGATCCCACCCATCACAACCCAGTTGCAGCATCGTTGGAAAGGGCTACAGAAAATCATACCGTGCCAGTGGGTTTATCAGTCGGGTTTGTGGTGGGTTTTTTTAAATAACATTCCTCTGGTGCAGATGCTATGACTCAGACGAAAGGTCTGCGCTCATAGAGGGAGCATGAGCCTGCTCGCTGCAGGCTGGAGGGAGCATGCCTCCGCCACGCGCGTACAGCAACATCCCGGCGCTCAGCAGTGGCTCTGCCCAGCCTAATCCTCGGGCAGTCGGCCGAGTGCGGCCAGGGACAGCAGAGTCAGTAGCCAATCTCGGCAGGGAGCTTTTAATGGTCCAAAGAGAAGCCCAGCAGTGTGAGGGAGTCACGAATGGAAAAGGTGGTTATACATTCAGTGATTCACACAGGGCTGAGGTCTCTGACATGGATTTTCCAAGCAAGCAGCAGCAACAGGAAAGCAAAATGGCAATTAGCAAGGAGCAGGCAGCTCAGCTACGTGACTGCACGGGACTGGGACAGCCACTCCTATCACACACCTATTGCAAACCGTTCAGGTCGCTCCTGGGGTCGCAAATAAACCCTGGCCTGCACAAGGCTGCCCAGCTACCGCCCTGCCATGCGGGGACATGGAAACACTTCTCCGCTGGAGCAGTATGCTCTCCCACCGGATGCCATTTTCCTGTTCAGAAAGCAGACACCGACGGTGCAGGACTGCAGTGCCCGAGCAACAGCTGCAGCACAGAAAGGAAGAAACGGCGAGCAAACAGGCTATGACAATTATTTCCGAATAGTTTGGCAGCTTTTTTATCAGAACATCAAACTTCCCTTTGGCTCTGCCGTTACCGCTGTGGCCACAGGGCTGCAGGACAACATGAACAATGGCTTGGGTCCCATACTCCCTATCACAGCGTGCCCACCCAGCAACAGGGATTCCCACTGTGCTGGCACACAAGAGCCACAGCAGCAGGAGAGGCCAATTTTCTTAACCTGAAGTGCATTCCAAAGTAAGGCGCTTCCTCGGAGCACAGAAGCACAGAGAGAGAGATATATGTTCCAGGGCTTCAGTTATACCAAATTACTCCCTTCACGATGGTGGTGGGGTACAGTTACTTCTTAATGCAGCTGGACACGGCTGAAAAATAAAAGCCCAGATGTGCCTCCAGAAAAACAACAGCAATATCACCATCGAGGAGTTGCCCCTGGCTGCCACCTCCAGGCATCCATCCCCAGCCGGGCAGGGTCGGCCGGCTGCCAGAGCCGCTCTCTGCAGCCAGCTCTCGCTCCAGCGTCCAGGCAGCACCAGGTACGCAGGCGCTTTCCGGCCAGCTGCCCGGCAAGGGGAAATCATTGACCTTTCCACAGACGTCCCCAGGGTGCCAGGGACTGTACAAAACACAGGAGGAAATGCCTCCCGTCCCAAAGGGAAATCTAAAACAGATAGAAGGAAGGCCAGAAAGGACACGGTAAAACTGAGAAGACTTTTACAGATACTTCTGTAGGCCTTAAAATGGGTTTTAGGAATGTAAATGTTATGCTTTATGAGGGAGAAACTTTAGCCTAATAAGGTAAAATAAAATGTCGAAGGAAGAAGTAACAGAGGAAGGGGTTATGGTGTTTACCTCTGGCAGCTGGAAGCACAGACTAGTCCTGCTCCCACTCCGATAGCTGCCAGGTAGCAATACCAGAGAAGGGGGAACCTTTGCCTGCCCAGAGACAAAGCGCCATAGTGGGGTTCATGAGCCTGACACCTTTGTGTCAATGTGTTTTATATTAATGATCAGATGTCAGAAGAAGGGTGCTGCCCTGAGACTATATTTATTTGATGCTGAACTGCTGTTAAGGTTCCCACCTGCAGCTGCAATGAGGCCCTTGCTTTTTCATAAAATACCCTCTGACACTCTGATGAGATTTATTACTGCATGGTCACCTATTAGTACTGTTTAATTTCCAAGCACTACACACTGTTAATTCTTGTCTCCTTCTGGTATGTCACTTAAAACACCCAAAACCTCTCTCCTATCTATTTCTTTCAGGCAGTATTTATCATGCACTGTTTTCATTTGGTTATGCTTCCCGTCAAGCACTTCCAAACCCACTCCTTTGCAGTGCTAGCTCTGCAGAGCAGGCACCCAAAGTCAACTTAGCTCCCAGCTCATACCTGTGGCCAGCAGAAGCCCATGTGCACCGCAGATGACCACGGTTTCACTTGCACACAGGCGGCAGCTGAGGGGATACCGGTGCAGGCAAACTTCATTTCCAGGAGAGGTTTGATGTTAATACCTTGTTTCTAGAGAACAAAGTTGCCGCAGGAGCTGAACGGAATCAGAGACCCTGACAAACCCTCCATCATTCCTGTCCCATATTGGGGACCAAAACGCTCCAACTCAAACCTTTCTGCTTTAACTAAAGCCTCCCTCATGAACTTACATGCAGAAAGGGAAAGGGTGAGATCACACAGCAGCCACTCAGAACATCTGCGACAGTAAAGTAGAAAGCAGTAAACTGACAACATCTCCAATGCCCAGGCAGCCCCTCCAGCACATACCACCTGAACCTCAGGACCAGACCCCGCTCTCTCACAGGCAACAGAACATGGTAAAAGTTATCCAAGGTGCTCAGAGCTAAAACTGACAGCTTTCTGCAAGTGGAGGAAAAGCCAAGTGCCCATGAGGGTTTCTGCTCTCTGACCAACCTGGCTTTGCTTGCCTGAGACCCTGGAGAGGCAGAAGCTGGAGTCCCTCTTGCCCAGTTCAACCCCTGCCCTTCACACGTTACCGTGACCCATACCTATCACATGCTCCACAGACTGCAAATATAGGCCTATAAAGCTTTTATAATGGTCAGTTTGGGGCAACTGCATTAGCTGTGAGAACGCTATACAGTTCAGCCTGTACAAGCAATAATAAAATCTAATAGCAACCATCATTCTCATGCATACTGCTGAGCCCTTGTTGTGTTCATCTATGCCCATCTATGTTTAAACTTTTCTCTGCCTTCTCCCCTCTCTAAACACAGGCCTGGTCCTGCAAAGTGCTAAACGCCTTGCACACACAGTGACTTCAGGGAGAGGTCATGGTGCTCAAAGCCTTATTAGCCCAGGCTTTATCTGTAGGGGGTGACGTGATCCCCAGTGACATCAATCAGCACACCTTCATTAGTTAGAGGAGCTATGCTGATTTATAGTAGCTGAGGATCCAGCTCTAAACTTCATAACCTTCAGTACATCATCAAACCCATGCTGAATTCTTTGTTCTCCACGGGACTGCTTCCACAGCCCCATAAATGCTTCACCTGTCCCTCTGTCCTTTTTGCAAACAGGGTTCCCCTCTCCATCTATAACCCCCTTTTAATCAACAGGACGAGCATTTCTGGCAAGGCTGCTCTATCAGGCCTGTTTTAGGAGGTCCCAAGCTCCTTCACGGCTAAGGCATCCCTGTAGCTGGCTGTGGATTCCAGATTAAACACACAGGTTTATACATCTGCTGAGACCATGTTATTAACTCAGCCTTTTATGGTGCCCTTTGATGCCGTTAATTATTCTTTACTAGCTGTTAATTGTTTTTCCCGGACATCTAGTATCTGAGTCCCTTCTTAGAGAAAATAGAAAAAAAAAAAAAAAGTAAAGAAAACCAAACGCCCATTTTAACAAATGCAACAGAATAAGCGCTGTGGAGAGTCAGATCCAGCCCAGACAGCTGGGACCCCCAAGCCCCCAGCCTCACATGGCCCATTCTGGGTCTCCAGACCCAAGGCTCTCTGCCTAGTTACACACCAGAAAATTGCTCTGCTCTCCCAGCACAGTTTAAAAGGATAGTGAGGCCACTTCGACACTGAGAAAAACAAGCTGCCTTTGAACCAAAGTCATGCTCAGGTTGAATGCCAGTTAGCTCTTGCTTTCAGGTGATATCAGGCTGAGTTAAGAACGACCAGTTCAATGCAGAGCAGGCTCATCCTGCGTCCAAACCAGAACCTTATAACCACACAGTTGGTAGAGGCACACTTGCCCCTGAAAGGCACGGAGACACAGCATTATGGGAGCTCAGGACAATGCTTGTTTTCATGCAGAAGGAAGCAGAGGGCCAATACCACTAGGCAAAAGCAGGAAGAGGAGGTGTCTATGTACTAGAGAAGAAGAGGAAGGCTCTTACTTGCAGTCATGCTTTTCAATTTCAAAGTGAGGGTTGAAGTTGAGGATAATCTTCTGGTTAGATTCAGGGGCGTAGATGACCCACACACAGTTCTGGTGGGGGGGGTAGTCATTGGGGTACCCTGGGGAGGTGATGTACCCGGCATCCTTGGAGTTCAGGCGACCCCCACACGGCTGAGCTGCAGAGACACAGAAGAGAACAAGGTATTGAAATGGGTCCTGGGCATCGGCCACGCACAGCCAATCCCTCTGGGCCCCTGCTAGGGGTGGTCTGATAAAGGCAACCCTCTCCAGGCTGTTGCCATCCATTTGGTGATCTAATATTTCATATTAATCTCTGGGCAAAGGCAATTATTCTACACAACAAACCTATTCCTTTTCCCCCTCCACCTCCTGCCACACTTACATACCACATTTCACACAGACCAGAAAAGAGAAATAAATGCTCTTGCTGAGGCAATTACAGAGCTCTAAAGTAAGAGACAGATTGATATCAGATTATCCAGAGCTGCCTCGCTTTATCCCTTCTTTTGACTCCACTGCAAGCTGCTCTGTGGCAGTCTCCTGCAGCTGCCTCATGAGACATTAAAATGTGGACACATACAACCCTTGGTGCAGCTGCAGCTGCAGGAGTGCAGGAAGCTTTACTGTGACCAAAGAAGGAAACTGAGGCACAGCGGGGCTGACGGCAAGCCCAGGCCCACCCATGTGGATGGCGGCCGCGCTGAGGACAGCTCCGGCCCTCCTGGCCCCAGCCCGTGGGGATCCCGTGGGGATCCACGTCAGCCCTTCCCTGCTTGCTGTACTCTCCCTCCCCAACCCCGCCTGCCCCACCACCCATCTCTGCAGACTGGCCTCCTGCCTCCCAAAACCTTTCAAGCTAACCCAGCCGTTGGAATTGCAGACACAGACAATCAGCAGCCGTGGTTTTGTGGGGCTAGCCCACAAATGGCTGGCAACGGCTGCGTGGTGAGTGGAGGAAGCACTCTCTGCCTTGGGTTAGAACAGGCCCTGGAGGGTGATTTCATCTTCAAAAAAACATTTAATCTCATGAATGCTGCAAATCAAATTTATTATTGCACTACTTGCTGGGAGGAAAATCTGCATCACAGGGTCAATTGATAACGCACTACAAATCCCAACAAAGTCCCTTTCTCTACGGGGCCCCTGATGAGTGCCTCTTGCTGCCCCCCCTCCCCTGCCACTGCCGCGGCCCCACGGGCTGCCACAGCTGCCCCCAGAAGACAGCACTGCCTCCTCACACCCCCCAGAAGACAGCACTGCCTCCTCACACCCAGCAAAATGGGCAAAACCCCAAGCCCCTCCACAGGGCAGGCTGGCAGGAGTACAGGGTGACCCTTGTTCCGCGTTGTGGAACCCTGACGATATGCAATGGGGTGTCCCCTGCCACTGAGAGTCTGCCCACTCCCAGTGGGGACATCCCAGCCCCCCTTCAAACCGCTCTCTTGCCAGAGCCAAGGCAAGCAGCAGGAGCGAGGCTGGACCCCTCGGTGGCAATGGTTCCCAGAATGGAGCACTTCAAATAAACAACCTGCTCCCTGCAGAAAATGCATATGTCCTGCATGGCAATAAGGGCAAGCGGAGGGCCTTTCGTGGGGGAGTGAGGCTTCCTTCCCCATGAAAAAGCACTATCTCAGTTTTCCCCATATTTTTCATGCCCTCCAACACATTCATTCTTCAAAATAACTTTCTTTTCACACAACCAAAGGCATCTCTGCAGCCTTCCCTTTTTTCTTAAAATAATCTCACAAGCATCCTGAAAAATAAAAGGGGAAAAAAATCACAACACGGCCACGCAAGAGCTGAGAATACCAAAAAACATCTGGTTTTGTTCCACAGGAGAGCTTGGTCAACACACAAACACTTAGGAACCTACATTCTTGCACAAATCTCTTCTCTCAGCAAGGCATATTTGCCCACACACGTGTCTATGTGGGTTTTGGGGAGAGAGAGAGAAAGGGAGATGTTCACGTGGATGGAAGGAAGAAATTCACGGACTTGTTGACATCAATGTACAAATAGACGTGTAATTCACACTTCACTCATGTACACACTTTCACACCTTCTCATAAAAATTCACACCTCGTTTGCACACATGTCCACCCCCTCCAGCAAAGAGAAATATTCAAGCTGCAGATTATTTTTCTTGGAAAGGGCAAAGTCTCGAAGCAATGAAAATATAGTCAATCCTTCCACACCTCGTCATCCCCTCCCTGTCTCTCCAGCTTTCACACACATGCTACCCGCTAGGCTGATACCACCAACATCACCCACCACTCAGGAGTTGCTAGCCCCTTACTCACGCCGGATACTACGAATACTTTGTAAGCCATTGCGACTCAACCAGTCAGAGGGGAACTGCTATGTGAACAGGGGTGTCAGGCTCCAGCTCACTCTGGCTCTTCCCTGACAAACTCAGGAGCAGTATTCCAGGTTTACCCTGACCCCAAAACTGCTCTCTTGGCCTGTGAGGCCATCATAAGTCAGCAGGACTGAGTTCAGGAAATCCCTGGGCTAGATCTTGATTTCCGGATATTTTGGTGCCCAAGTTAAACTGCTGGTGCTGGTGAGGACAGCCTGAGGGAGAAGGGCTGGAGCCCAGCTCCCTGATACTGTGGTCTCTGCAGCGAATGGGACAAGCAGGTGAAACCACTGAGCAGACAGGAGCACCAGCCACATCCCTCAGGTGTTCAGATACCACCAGGAAACTTTCACCATCTTTTTTTTGCAACAGGGAAAGTCTTCCACCTGAGGAAAGCTTACCTGCATCTCTCAGAGGAACAGATTGTGTCCTCTCACTCATCCCTCTCCAAGAAGGTTTAGAGAAATTAAGGGGGCTACTTCAGTTCAGCACTGCCTTGTCCACGCACCCACCAGGCCACGTGGTGGGCAATAGCACACCAGGGTAACCAAGGCTTCTGACAGCTATCTGAAAAGGGAAAATGACTTAAATATCTTTGTGATTGTCCTATTGGGCTTTTTCTCTCTTGATTCACTGGTATCTAGCAGATAAACACCTGCAACAAAAAAAAAACATCACTGTGCACACTGATGGGCAAATGGCTTGCCTCAAGAGACGTGCCAAGCACTGGCTTTCTGTATAAAGTCAGGCCTGTTTTGCACACAGTAGAGGGTCAAGTGTCCGCATAAACCCATCCTTTCCAACTGAAGCACTGAATCCACACAAAAATAAAATAAATATTAAAATAAAAATAAAAAAGGTGAGTGGCATGGCTACTGCCCAGGCTATACGCTTTGGAAGCAAGATGTGCTCCGCAGCTAATGGGCTCTGGCAGCTTTTGCCAGCCCTGAATTCACTTAATAAAATTAAAATTAAATTCTGAAGTATAAGCCAAGTCTGCCAGGTGCATGGGACATCCCGCTGCTCAGTAAGCAAAATGCAGGCGCTGAAAGCAAACTGCTGGGGACCCTGCCAGCCTGCACGGTGCAGGGGCCAACGGAGTGCTGTGCCGATGGCAAGGCCACAGGAGAACAGCCAGGCTCCTCAATGGCAGGTAGACAGGTCGGCACTCCCTGGTAGTGCGGGAGCAGGCTGTGTTCAGGATGGGAAATTCCCAGATCCCTTCCTTTGTTGAGGCCCACCACATGATTTACATTATCCCAGCAACCCTTTCCTTGCAGGATCACCTCAACAGGGAATCTACACCAGCAGACGGCAACCAAGCCATAGGAATGGGAAAGGAAGACCTGGAGAAGCTCATGGGTGCAGACTCCTCTGAACACCACAGCATACAGCGGGCAACTCCAAAGCTTCCCATGGAGATGGGTATCAGCAGCTGAGCTCCTCACCCTTTGCGGGGGGCAGACCCTGCTGGAGACATCCAGACCGATGAAGTCTCCCAGGATACAATGAGTAATCATCACTCAGGGGACCCAAAAATAACAGCTCGGCCCGGGAACTTCCACCCACACTTGGGGGTTTTCAGCTCTGCAGCTCATCAGCACATGCTGCAACCTTAGGCCGGGAGCAGAGCCTTCTCCTACTTGAATTTCCTGCCGATTAAACCCCCCTGGATTTCCCTCACCCCAGGAGAGCAGAGCTCACTGTTATTGTTGGACTTTCAACACAGAAACTAAAGCCAACTCTGCCTATAACAAAAATAATCATCACCAGAGAGGCCCGTTTCACAACAAACACACATACTACAGCCTCTCAGAGCTTGTAGTGTCCAGCAGAAAGCTATCACGTGTTTTGATCTGCTGGGTTCAGTTTACTTTGGGGATGTAATTCAGGGCTTCACACAAAATTTAAGGTGTTCTTGTTGCCTTAGAGGCAAGCATCAGTGTCAGTGCTGCTCGGAAAGAGCAGCCTTCAAGGGCAGCAAAGGAGAGAGATGCCAGGAGTCTCACAGCAGAGGGATGCACTGCCTGGCCTTGTCACTTATTTCTCATCCTCATGTGAGGCATTCACAGCCCAGCTCCACACTCTCATCCAACCATCGCAGAAGTTGGATCATCCTGGGATTCAGCGCTGGGCAGAGGAGATCTGTTCTGCCAACCCTCCAACGGCACAGCAAAATACGGGTCCTGGCACATGTGACCTACTGCTCTCAGAGCTGCTGAACTTGGCACGAGCCCTGCACACCAAACCCTGCATTTCAGTCCCACTAGAGTCAAACATCTCTTCATGAAGCAAAGTTTTTTTAAAGGTCCACGAGTGTCCAAGCACTTTGCCAAAGCCTTGCACAAAGGGGAGAAACAGATCTCTTCTGCTGAGGATTCATTACTGTTAATGTTCATCCTGCCTCCTTCCCCAGGCTCTGGCCCTGGGGGAAGAGTCTGGGCACAGCTAACATGGCAGGGGCTCTCACCCCAAACTGTACGGCACAACTGTCACATCAGGCAGGAACACAGATGAGAAGTCTTAGATTTAAATGATACAGCTGAGCCATTGGCCGAGGTGAGAGACATAGTGCAGAGGAAGCTAATAAGATTAGATATTTTATCCCCAGTAACATAGATCATTTTAGCAGAAGCGTGTTTGCTTTGGATTGTGAGATAAAGCTTCAAAGGCTTCCTGAACAAATTAATGGGCAAACACACCCAAACAACACAAAGCACTTACACGCACGTTACATCCCAGAGTGATACCCACATCCACGTCTTGGGATTTCACACAACTGGGAAAACTCCCCTG